CCTTTAAAATTATTTTATAGAAAAGAGTAAAAAATAGTTAATTTGTAATTATAAAAAAAAAGGAAAATAAAAAAAAATTATTTTTTTCTAAATAATAACTAATAATAAAAATATGATTTAAACATAGTCTAAGAAGACATAATTATTAAAAAAAAAATGAACAAAAAGTTTTATCAGTAGTTTTTGGATTTGTTTTATTTTCACAAGTCAATTTGTATATATACGTGTATAATGGTTTATTTTACACAAAATACTCTATCCATATTTTTTACATACTCTATGAGTTAAAATTCTTGTAATTTGATAAGTAATTATTCAAAAATTATTATAAACTTAAAAACTTCAAAATTATAGATCTATATATAAAGTAGAACTTTTTCAACTTAATTTTTGAAAGTATTCCGGAAATACTGAAACTGTTTTATATACCTAATATTAAAGCTTATGTAATATACTTAATTATGGAAAAAAAAAATTTTCGAGCTTCATTTTGTCTTCATAGTGAAAATGGCTACCGTATGCTTTTATTGTGTAAAAATGTTCAATATTTTATTTTAAACTACTTTACAAAGTTTTTGAGTTAGAAAAAAATATAACTCATTTGATTTTTATCTCAATTAGATTCAATAACTTCAATGGATATTGAGGATCACATCACTGTATTCTCCTGTCGTTTGAAGAAATTTCTTACTCATATTAATGTTCTATTACTATGTGATTTTTTTTTATGGCTCTCATTTTTTTTCTTAGCTTCACTTGATCAACTTTTTTTATCGATTCATCAAATGATCACAACTATTATCTAGTTAAAGATATTAACCTTAAAAATTGAAAAAACTTTCACTTATCAATTAAAATTCTCCATATTGACAATTAAAATCATTAATTTATAAAGTTTTTTAAGTATTTACTGTCGAATAAGGTTTGATATGATAAAAGGTTTCAACTACAAAATTAAATAATTTTACTTTGTAATATATTAATTTTTAAACTTTATTTGTGTATGTGTTACTAATACTAATAATAGTCTATTAGTCCAAAATTTTCGGTAAAAAGTTGTTGTAAAAATCATAAATCTAAAAAAAAATTATTTTTAGTGTCACCTGAATTTAATAATAGATTTTTACAATTAAAATCAAATTTTATAATATACTCAATTGAGTAGATATTTTTAACAATATTTTGATTGGTTTTTTGAGTAAATCATTAAAATTAATTAAGTTGTGGTTATTTCAGTTGTAGAATCTTCTTAAACACCAAAAATTACTCAGAAATGTTTACTATGATTTGTATTTAAGTGATCTATTACAATAAAAATGCCAAAAAAATATTGATCTTTTCTGATAAATTTACAGTAAATAGTAATTATACAATTTCCTGACTCCATATTTATCTGAAGGATACTATTTTTTTATTCTCAAAATTTTTCTATTTAATAATGCAAATTTCAAACTTGAAGTTAACATTTTATAAAATACAATTATTATTAGAATAAAATTGAACAGTTATTATTTGAATTGTATTTTACTAACATTTTCTCCACCAAAGTACAGTAGAACTCCAATTATCCGAATTAATGGGGACCGGGACCCATTCACTGACTAATCAAAATAAACAATGACAGGTGACTGCAATGCGCCGGAACTGGAGTGGGAACTCTTACCACGTGTTGTGCCTACACTGACGCCGCGGACTTTGGACAAATTTTTTTCTGATTTTTTCTGAAAGTGATTCGGATAATCGGCGATTCGGATGATCGGAGTTCGGATAATTGGAGTTCTACTGTAGATGAGTTTACAGGTATAATAGAGCATATACCAAACTAATAATAAAAATAGAGTTATATGAATCAATAATTCATCCTAAATGTCGTATTATACAACATTTTTTTATACTATATGAAATATATTTTTTATTTTGTGTAAATAATTTATTTATATATATATATATAAATATTAATCTTTGATTTAAACATATGTGATGTCAACATTTATATTTATGACTTACATTATGATTATTATTAGAATAATATTTTCAAGTAAAAAATTAAGTTTTTGTAACCAGCTAAAAATATATTTATATATACACAAGTTGGAATATCATGCTATCAAATAATTATACAAAGTATATGAATTACTCTTTTTAGTATTTAAAATGTGGTTCAAGTTTTCTAGAGAAAATATACTTTTAGTGCTCCTTATTTTTCATTTATTTATCCATTTTGGTAACTTTGCTTTATTAAAAACTGGCTATAAGAATGACAAAGGAATAATCAAACGAGACTACAAAACAGACGACATTAGATTATTAAAATGCACTTACTTGTTTGCAGGTATGAATCATTTGCAATTAACTAAGATACTTCTCGAACACCAACTTTGTGATATCAAGGTTGTAACTATTTTAATCACTAATGGTAACGACTTTGTAAAAAAACAGATAGCTTCATTATACTACAACAAAGAAGTTGAAGTTGGATCATTGTGGTTATTAAACATGTAAACGTGTATAGTTGGAAGATACAAAGATTATTTTCCAAATGGAGGTATGATAAATGATAATGACACTGAGGTTGTTGAAATGTTGAAATGTCTAGAGTTTGTTTTCAATAAATTACAGTTGGAGTTACAGTCAAACAATTGTAATACAAGCAGTCGACTTTACTTAGATAATATGGGCTTTAACTATAGTCAAAACTATAACTATGATTACATCTTATCATTTATTTTGAAAAAAAAAGATGATATTGAAAAACTAATTGACTATAATAACATAAATGGAACATTAGTATTCGGGAATTATAAATTGTTTGGTAGATTTTATTTATACTTAAAAAGATTTGGACATTTTAAAACTGTTGTGTTAAAGGTTATTAACAGTTTCAACTTACGAATACAATGGGGAAATATTGATATGAAGTTTATAATAATGCCAATAAACTTGATTGGCCAACTACAAAATTTCGTTCATGCTTGTTGCTCTATTCAATGATTTTCAACTTATTCAAAATAATTATGTTAAGATTGACATGGGAACAATTTTTATATATTAAATATCAAAATGTATCATTCATTAAATATCTTACGAACCAATGCTTAATCACACTTAATGATTTCGCCAAGTATCTGGCATTAGAAAAAGACTATGTAATTAAAAATGTAATAGATAGTATTTCTATGCACATAAAAAATTATCCCTTGAAAAACGATAAAACTGTAGATCTAATTAAGTTACCAACTTATCAAGAGCAGTACACAGAACAATTGATAAATAATATTAGCAATATTATATCAAAGCTTTGTGAGGGGTTAGGTTGTACAAACGTTGAAAATTGGAACGAAGAAGAAGTTTTACAGACATCCAATCAAAGTAATTTTTACTCAGGTCATGATGTACCACAATCTAATCAAGTAATAAAAGAAATTAAAGATAATTGGAAAAATAACTACTTGAATGAAATAATAAATTTTGGAGATTACCTCATATATTTATTTAATGACGTCGATTTTAATGTTATTAGATCTTTTATTGATTACATAGAAAAATTAAATAGTTATAGTCTATTTGTTGGAGAATAGTTTATTGATTCTGACACAGTATGATATATGTGTAATTTGAGGACATTGAAGTACGACATTGAAATTGTAAGTGTTCAAAATATTACAGAATTTAGATGTCCACCTTTTAATTAATTAACACTGATTATGATTTTTAGTTCAGTAAAATTATCTCTCTTACAATGTCAATATTATAAATATTAAATAGTTTAGTTATTCTACTAATTTGTGTATGATATTTATACTAAATTTTCTACAAATAATTTTATATTATTTTACAAAATTTTGTTTCTATTTTTAGACATTAGTTATAAGAAAAAAAAAATTATAGTACGTAGTATAAACTTTATTTTGACATATGCTTAAAGGTCGCAGTGTTTCTCGAACATTTTCAAAATTTTAGGTGAAAAAATTGACTTTTATGAAAAAGTTGCTATTTTGAATAACCCCCTGTGATTAAGTAAAAGGTTCAATATTGAAAAAAATTGATATGAAATAAAAGGAAAATACTTAAGGTTTTAATATAAAAAAAAAATGTTGATTTGTTTATTTTTCAATAAGTTATGGTAGTTTTAAGTACAAAAAACATCACGATAGAAGTTGATTTTTTTGCAAATATTACATTTTTCGTTCAATTTCGGCAGCCGTTTGCACATAGAAGATAAGGTGTCGAGACAAATTTTTCTTTTTATTTATAGTATGTAACATAAGATTTGATTTGACATATATTTAAAAGACGCAGTATTTCTGGAACATTTTTATAACTAAAGTTGAAAAAGTTGAAATTTTGTAAAAAATTTGCTATTTTAAATCCCCTTTTGTGGGCGGTAAAGGGTCAAATTTTCAAAAATATTATATCAAATAATATGTAAAAAAAAATAACCGAACCGATTTCTTTCAACGATACGTCAAAAAATCACAATTCGTATCTAGTCGAAGACATTACCCTCAAAAATTGAAAAAATTTCCCTCGTTATTCGTAAATTAAAGCTTATGTAATGTAATTATTTACTATTATTAATAATTTACTATTATAAAAAAAAAAATGCGAACTTTATTTTGTCTTCATGGTGAAAATGACTATCGTATTCAAAAATATGCTATTTATTTATAAAAAAATTTATAAAAAAATGATATTAATGCACTACGTGTACTTAACTACTTAACCGATTAACTGACGACTGGCTAACTAACTGATTGACGTTATTGTTACGTCACGCCGTTTTATATTGTGTTGAGTTCTAGAAGATTCTCTTATGGAGCGATCGAGAACATTTGCGCGTATATGCATGTTGTGTTGCCTATCCGTCGCAAGATTCTCGATCATTCTATAGTCACTACATTATTCCCCCCTCAGTACACTGAGTGTTTACAATAAGTTGTTAATAACATGGTTTTATAAGATATAATTTGTAGTTAAATTGGGAAATGTACTTTTTGTCCTCACCGCGTTTGCCTTGGTTGTGCTGAAACTGCTGTACTTCTTGTGTTCGTATTATGCACAGGTACTTTGTCTTCTATGTAAGCGGGTTTGAGTCGATCGATTGATATTGTTTTAGATGTACCGTTGATTAGAAGGTCGAACGTCTTGGGTGTTCTTTTTAACACTTGAAATGGTCCTTCGTATGTATAAGTTAATTTGGGCTTCAGAGCGTCGATTCTTTGGTATACGTGAGTACATGTTTCTAGGTCTTTTGGTATGTAAGTGCGTTTTGATGATGATGTGTGGTGATATACTATTGGGGCTACTTTCGAAAATTGCTGTTGAAGTTGTTTTATGAAATCAGATGGTTCTGGTAGTTGTTCTGTTTCTTCAAAAAATTGTCCTGGTAGTCTTAGCGTTTGACCATAGACTAGTTCGGCTGGGGATGTTTTCAAGTCTTCTTTTAGTGTTGTGCGTAGGCCTAATAAGATCATAGGTAGTTCTTCGGACTAATGGATGCTGTCTTTACATGTTATAGCGGCTTCTAGTGTTCTATCATTCCATTTGCTTGTGCATGATATGGTGATGAATGTATTGTTTGAAAACCTAATGTTTTTGATAACTGTTTTTATAATGTTGATTCGAATTGTCTACCCTGATCTGTCGTTATTCTATGGGGTACTCGAAATCTTGCAATCCAATTTTGAATTAGGGTGGTAACACATGTTTCTACAGTTATGTCTTTTATAGGCACTGCCTCTATCCATCTTGAGAACCTATCGATCATAGACAATATGTATTTATAAATTTTAGATGGTGGTAATGGTCCAAAAATGTCAATGTGTATGTGTTCGAAACGACCACTTGGTGGATTAAAATTGCCGATTGGGGTGATTGTGTGTTTTTGTTTTTTGACATTTTTCACATGCTTTTACCCATGATGTTATATCTTTTTTCATCGATTTCCATACGAATCTTGGTTTAATTTGGCTAAGAGTTCCTTTTATTCCAGGATGAGATAAGTTATGAATAGTTGAAAATAATTTTCTTTGTAGTGATGTTGGTACGATTGGTCGTATTTTACCAGTGCTTGTGTCGCATTTAATTTTTCGGCCACCTTCTATTTCCATGTCTTATACTTTTAGACTAATATTGGTTAATATGTAATCTTTATATTGTGCGTTGGCGATTTCTTCTATTAAGTTTATTGGGTCAGATGTATTTGATACGCTTTCGACTTTTGCTGTGATGTTGCTTGATCCGACAATGTGCTGTATGTTAGTAGTTAATTGTGATATAAATGAAAGTTGTCGTTGCTGTCGTTCAGATGCTTTTTCTAGTTTTTGTTTAAAAGCATGAATTAATGGTTTGTGATCTGTATAAATTGTAAAGTCCTTGCCTTCTAATAAGTGAGTGAAATGTCTACAACAATCGTATATGGCTAGAAGTTCTCTATCATAAGTCGAGCATCGCTGCTCAATAGTTGTTAGTTTGCGACTGTGAATTCCTAGTAGAAGCGATTTATTATTAATTATTTGGTTTACAACTCCACCGATTGCCCTATTACTGGCATCTGCAGTAAGTGTTAGTTTGGCTGATTCAAATGGGTGTGCTAAGTCTGTTGACTTTTCCAATAATTTTATAAATGTCTAAAATGCTTCTTTTGCTTCAGATGTCCAATTTATGACTCGCGTATCATTTTTCTTGTTATCTGGAATCAGCTCATTCAGATGTAGTTGGTGATGTGCAAGCTGTGGTATAAAACGTCTATAGAAGTTAATCATACCGAGAAATCGCCGTAGATCTTTTATTTGATTGGGTATAGGCAATTCTCTTATACTTTTGACTTTTTCTGAATCAGGTATGGTTCCTTCTTTTGAAATTTGATGTCCTAAAAAGGTTATTGATTCTTGTCCAAAACTGCATTTTTCTAGGTTGATTTTAATATCATGTTGGTCAAGTGTTTTTAGTACTGTGTTTAGATGTTCCTTTTTGAATTCTGAAAATTAATCTCTTTTACCCCCGATTACTCTAGTTGTGTCGACTTAATTTTTTTAAATAGCAACATATATATTTAATTAGACGAAAAGTCTTCCTATAATAGTTATGCCATTTTATTTCCAGGCGTTCCTACAAAATTCTGTGTTGGTATAATACTAAAGATTTTTTGTGGTTACGTATACTTATAAAAAATGTGATATATTTTTAATATAGAACCTGCTTTTTTAAACAATAAAATACTTACATTCATTCTGAAAAAGAATGTTCGAATTATCATATACATGCACTGGAAGTTTTTAACGCATACAATGTAAGGAAAAAATAAATCAATAAATATTGATAAAAATGTTATATTTCTGTATGAATTTTCGGTAATCCATGACAAAAAATATACAACTTGTGTGTAAAATGAACGTGTATATTAGAAATATTAGACTGAAGTATTAGAATTTTTAAAACATTTCTTACGATGTTATTAATAGCTTGAAATGATTAATAACAATACTGAAGTATTTCTCTAATAGTGTAAGTTTTGAGAGTATGTGAAAATTGATCCGAGACGATGGGGTAAAAAAACTGACATCGCACTGGATTAACTAAATTAATTATTTTTTTTTTAATTAAAAAAACAAATCTTATTTTATTTTAGAATATGTGTATTACATTAAAATCCGCAGTTAATAAATAGTAACTCGTGTAACTTAATTAATATTTAGCAATTTTCTTTATTTTTACTGCCATATATTGGTTTTCCGAAATTGGCTTTCCATTTTCGAGCTGGAGGACATGACGGAAAGGGAACATCTAAACATCCTCTTTTTGTACTGCACAATGGGTGTCGGCATGTGTCTTGTAAGCCATTGAACTTCACACAAGCACAATTTTGATCCTTCAGCTAAATGAAGTATAAATTACGATATTTGTAAAAATTACTTTTATGACTAATGTCTAATTTTTTTTTTTTTATATATTATAAATATATAAATATCAGTTAAATCAAGATAAAAATAACTAAATTTCGCATTTACTTTGACGTTTGTTGAAGTGCAGGATGGTCTTTTACAAGTTCCTTCGCAATAGTCATCATTTACAGTTCTGACCTTTTCTGTTTGTTGTATACATGCTTTAGAAGGTATTGGAGAAATTGCTGACAGCTTGCAACATTGCGAGAACTTCCCTAGACCAGCTGCGGGTACAGATTTTGGTCGATTACAGTCGTTTTTCGCCTGATTGTTATTTTGAAGTTCCTTGTAAGAATTTATTAGGTTGTCCTGTTCACAATGTAACTCATTTGGATTTTGTGACATATTTACTTTTTAGATGTTACGGATTAGAATTTTATTTGAAGTGTATTCTTGTTTGTTTTCTAATGGCCGACTGTTAAAAACTACCTTTTGTTTGTTATGAAATACTAAGAAACGGTATAATTTAAGTTTATTAAGCCAACACTGAGTATATTATTTAACCATAAAATGGTCATTTTATAATATTGACGTAACAGTGTTTTAATAATTGTATTTCAGAAATACTATAAATTTTAGCATTAAACTTTTTTTCTTTTTATTTTATTGTAAATATATTTTATATTATATAATACCGTATTTCGTCCATGGCCATAACCAACTTTGTCGGAATTTATAAAATTTTAAATTAAAATATTAAATTAGTTGTGAATGTTAATCTATCAATTTTATTCATCTAATATAGTAGCTAGTTTAGTTTCAGCAACTATAAAAAAATATAGACACTCTTAGAAAGCTAGCAAATAGTGAAATAGACGTTGACGTTGAAAACATGAATAATTTACGTATAATAATTTATGTAAAACTGAACCACTTTATTTAACGTAGTTTTCTTAGTGTTTTTTATAAATATTTATGTACAATTTTAGAAAACTTTTGTAAACAATTTAGGTTTAAAAATTATCATTAACCAGAAAATAAACACATCTAACGTAGTAATCAGGTAATTTTCAATTCAAGAAGGCTTACAAAAATTAAAAAAGGAAGATTTGTATTTTTTAATGATTCAAGTTATATGTTTAATAGAGTTCAGAAATATGATTTGATGAAAGTTTTCAGAAGTGAATCTTCATACAAAAAACTTTAATCATGTGGCTGAATTATATTTTTATGATTTTAAACAGAAAAAAATTGTTGTAAAATAAATAAGATTATTAAAAAATTATTAAAAAAAAATGGAAACTTATCAAACCATAAATACTGATGTAACACTGCAAGAAGTTTTAACTTTTTTAAATATTATTATATTCCATTGTGTTAGCTTTTGTAGTTTTGTTTCACATTAGCCATAAAGAGTCATAAGTTAAACATTTTTTTAATATTGAAATATTTCGTTTGGACATTATTTCATTGGACATATCATTTATAATACATCATTAAATATTTACAAATACATTCTAAGTCAAAATATGATCAAAAATAAAATATTCATAAGTTATATGTGGAAATATTTAATTTTTTTATTGAAAAAATGTTAAAATAGGAATAAATAATTTATTGTATGTACATCGTTAAAACTAGAATAATAAAATATTAGTCAAACCTTTATAATGTCAGCTATTTTGACGTATCTGAAATGTTAAATGGCTTGATTTTTAATGTTATCAAAAATATTTATAACTAACCTTGTTACATAATCAAAGTGTAATAAAATCTAATTTAATTTTCCTTATTTAGTAAAATGTACCAAAGCAGTTATAAGTTGTATATATATTTTTTATCGGTATTTTTAAGATTGGCTACTACAAATATTCACACTAAATATGATTTGATAGAAAATTTCTTAATGAAAAAATCGATAGACCTTGTAGTTTTGTGCGTTTGTTGGAAGCAAAATGGTATTGTAGTAGATATTTTGTGTAGAATATTAATGATATTTGATTTAATTTTAGATAGAGTACAAATAATGAAAAATTTAAATAAAAACTATATCGCCGTTAAATTTTTCAATACTGATGATTTTTTTGTAAATTTAAGTGAAGAATTCATGTTTTCGGATAATTCATTAGCACTTACAATCCATTCTCCTTTCCTTGGAATTATTTTTGATTGGTCATGCTATAAAAACGCAGAGTTTGAAGTAGGTTAACAATATTAGCATTTTTTTTTTCATATCTTTTACTTATTAATGTATTTTGTATACTATGTGATTATTAAAAATAATAATACACCAATTTTTCGTTAGATAATAGTTTTTCTATAAAAAAAGTACTAAATAAAGTTTTATTTATTTTTAAAAATCACGGTAAGTATAAAATTCATTATTAAAAAAACTATTTCTAAGAATATTTTTTAAGAATAATTTTCGTAAATTAAAGTGGAATTAAATTAATTTTATCCACTTCCATTAAATGGAAAATAGACTAAACAATATTATCGACAAGTTATTAGTCAGTTTTGAAGTATTGCTTTTTTTTGAGATTTTTTTATTTAAAGATTTAAACAAGACAAGGAAATATGATAGGTTTTACCGATGCTTTATTTCTACATTAAAACATTAATAATAATACTATTATGTTGTACTCTCTTTTTATCCGTTTGAAAATATAACATCAACTCAATAATTTATTCAACAAAATTGGTTATTGATCAATATAAAATTTATTTAATCCATTTTTCATCTAGTTGTATAAAAATAATTATTGATACTCATCTAAAAGACTTCAATATTTATCTAAACAATTTACTGAGTATTTAATAGGTCAGTTGTTACAAACTATGAGAATAATAGAAACACGTTTTTTTACTTACGGAACACTCCATATATTGTTTTTACAATAAATTTGATAATGTCAATGTCATGATAAATAAGTTATTTTGTTCAAAATTCAAATATAATGCCCACGTTTTTTTCAATTTAGCTTTCAAAATTAGATGTCATAACTATCTAAAAATCTATCATGTATTTTTGTAGTTTCCTAGAAATTATCACTGGAACTCGAGTTACCATTGGCTTATGATAATGGAAAAACGCGTCAGTTATGATATTTCGAAATTTTTAAATCAGAAAAAAATAAACCTTACCGTAGACAGTGAAGTTATTTTAGCATACCAAATGGAGTTAAATAATACATGGTTAATTTATGATATTTATCGTACAGCATATGAACCAAGAGGTGAGCTTGTTATTGAAGCACTAAATTATAGTTCATTTGGTAAATGGGGAAATCGGTCATGGAAGTTTGACAAACGGAGAAATTTACGAAATCTAACTTTAAATGCAGTCATTCCCGTAAGTTGATACATTTGTTGTAATAGGCCCTACACACATAAACAATTTAGTCTTCTGTTTTCTTCTTATTCACTTCTCAACGCATATAGAAATTCTTTTACAACACAATATCTTTTCACATAACATATAAAACACAATAAACACCGTCTATCCTCTAAAACACTACTTCCACGATCACGCCACAAACATCCGCTCCTTCAAAACACTTACAAAAACCCTGATCAATAACGTATCATAAAAATGTAAAACCCAATAAGAGCTGGACGATAATCATACACATCTGTGGAAGGGGATCCGGGGAATACATTAAGAATATCCCTGGGCACATAGTCCTCGTCCTGTTCCGATCCAACCGACATACGAACACGTCGCGATCATCGTCCGGCTCTCTTTCGCCTTTTAAACCAATTTTGTATTTTTTTTTAGTTTTGTTTGTTTTTTCTTTACTATTATTGTATCATGTGTTTTTAATAATAAAATAATCGAAGATATTTTTTTATACAAATTGGTTATTATAATTCATACTTTCTTTATTGTTCCACGAGTAAATTATTGTATCAATGAGGATTATATGATTAAGGTAAGAACATCCTAATTTATTGTGCATGTATTTAAGATAGCAAGTGACCCTCGAACAACACACCTCGAGAAAAGGGATAGTTCTTATTTTGTGATACTCCTATAACATTCCCTTCCATCATATAATATCCCTTTCTTATTTTTGTTTTACAACACATTACATTCATATAAATAATTAGCTTTGTTAACTATAAAAATATAAGTAATTTTTTTGTAGTAATTTTCATAGTGAGTAAATTTAAAATAAGTCCTGAGGAGAGGAAGGCATGTTGACAAGATGATCTTCTTGGATTTAAAAAAAAATTGTTACACTAATGACAAAAACGCGCATTTATAATTTTCCAATTTTTCAGATGAGCAAAAAAATTATAAATACCGAGTAAAAATTTTTACTCAGTTTCAAATCATAAATTTAGAATTTACATAAGATTTTATCGTATAATTAGTGATAATAAAACTCAAGAGTATATCTTAAGGGGGTCATTATACTATTTTTGACATTTTTACTCTCCATTTACATTTTTAAGTGTTTTTTTTTCATTCTATCGTTGCTAATCTGGATTTCCATAATTTCTTGTTTAGAGCCAATTTTTTATGTTAGCATATTAATTACAACCTAGTTGTCTTGTATTGAAATAATACGTAAATTAAACTAAATTATGTCATTTTGCCCCGTATCTGTGGCTACATAACGAATGTTAACTTTTTGTCTAATTAATTATCTATTCAATTAATAGTAATTAATACGTTCTATAGCGATTTATTTCAATTTATAAAAGATTATTTCTATTATACTTCAAGTTTTTATCGTGAATATTTCTTTAAGTGATTTAGTTAAAGCTTAAGAGTGTCAACTTGCTTCACCCTCCTTTACTTAAAAATCCAAACTTCTGAACAGCATACTTAACGTTATTAATTATCAATAATTATAAAATAAAAGCAATATATTTCTAGATATGTTTAATTAAAGTAAATAAAATTGTTTCTACTAGAAAACCCAGCATGAATTTTTTATAAAATGAAATAAGTTACAATAATTTATCAAAAATTTCAAATTTATGTGCGACACGCTGCTTAAAATTTTATCTTATAATCTTTGTTATAATTTAGATCAACTCTTATGGTATATCAGCAAATAAAAACGCAACATACATTAAAGGAACCGAAGAAGAAATAATGAAATATTTAGTATCCAGTAAAAGAGATCGGTTGGGATCTGTTCAAAAATTTAGTTACGCTACAATGTATCCCATTACAAAAGTGCTTTTAAACATGACGTAAATTGAAATTTGGTATGTATTGTTACTAAAGTAATACAGGAATTTTGGTTTTAGAATGAAACTTGTTACAACAGTGTCTTGGGGCTTTAAAATTAATAATACTTGGGACGGACTTGTTGGCTCATTAGTAAACGGAGAAGCCGATTTCTCCATGTGCATAGCTGCAGTGAGAACTGTAAGAATGGATGTAATAGATTATTCAGCTCTATCTATATGGACGTTTGAGTAATCTTTTTGATGACAGCTTTTAAAATTAACTTTAAATAATTATAAATTATTTGGTTTGATAGGCCATGTTTTATCATTCGGCGCCGACAGTCATCTTCAAACTCAGTGAATATTTTTTTACGACCTTTTAATGTGTACGTTTGGATTTCTTTAACAATTGTCATAGTATTAGCCGCTGGCGTATATTATATTATTTTTCATTTTGAATCAGACACACCAACGTTTACATTAAAAACATGGAGTGATATTATTTTATTGAAAATCGGTGCTCTATGCCAGCAAGGTTACTTCTAAAGACCAATATCGATTTTTCATTTAAATCGATTAATCTAATTTTTATTTATTTCAGGTTCAACTATGAGTCCAACAAAATTTAGCAATAGGTTAATTGTTCTTTTAATATTAATTTTCAGTATGGTTATATATCAATTTTATTCATCCAGTATTGTATCTGAATTGTTACGTCCAAATTTAGTAAATATTGATTCAATAAAAATGTTAGATGAAAGTGGATTAAATGTAGGTGTTGAGGATTTCAATATTCTCACTGCAGTAATACAAGTTAATATAAAATCAGTTTTTACGTTATAAAATAATACAATATTGTTATTTTACATAATTAACCAATTTCATCCGATTACATCATAAAAACTATTTAGACATTTTTTTTTAAATCATATTATATAAAAAAAAAAAATTATGCCAATTATGATTCTGGAATAATTCCAATATTGTAATAAAAACTTGAAATATTTTAACACATTGAATTCAAATTAGTTTTACCCTTGATAGTTCTAATTAATTTAATTGATTACTTTAATTTTGAAGGCGCATATTGATACAAATCCCTACCTGAACAGAATAATAAATACGAAGGTAAATCCAAAAAATGAATATCTTTTACCAATGGAAGGCGTCAAGAAATTGAAAAAAGGAAATTATGCATTTTACACTGATCCGGGAACTAGTTATTTTCTTATTAACGATATATTTACTGAGAGGGAGAAATGCGATTTATCTGAATTACTAGTACATGTACCTGAGCGCACTGGATTTTTTATTCAAAAAAGATCACCGTACAGAGAATTGATAATACATGCGTAAATATTTCTTATACTGTGTTAATAAAAAAGTTATTGGAGATTAATGGAAACCTTATGTAGCTCAGTGGATAACGCGTCGTGCCTCAATACGAATGTATCGGGGTTTGATTCAGTTGTGCTGAGTTATAAAGATTTCTCCGTCCTCTTTGGCACAGCAATAGTTTTTAGAGAGAACGTTAAAATAATAAATAATGAATAAGAAAATATAATTAATAATAATTTCTTGATATATTTTAGAAGCAATATATTACTTGAAGTTGGGGTTATTAAAAAAGAACATCAATACTGGTATGCTAAAAAACCACGGTGCATTGATCGAAACAGAGTAACAGAAGAAAATCTTGTCAGTGTAGAACTAAAAGATATAACGTCGATTTTTGCTTTTTTACTTTCTGGTTTATTAGTTTCATTTATTATTTTTACAATAGAGATTATAACACATCGATATGAAATAGAAAAAAAACAATTTGTTTTTAGTTAGATGTTAAAACAATAAGATGTATTTTTTTATTATAAATATCGTATAATATTTTTAGTATAAATATTAATATATTTAATTACATATGCTATTATAGAGTGATTCATTAAGGATAAGACATTAATTTCTTTTGAAACTATTGAGAATTTTTTAATTATCATAAATGAAAATAATGTTTTATTCAAATATTTCTAGTTAAATAATATTTTCATAGAGTTAAAAAACCTCAAATTTAGTTTTCTTAAATAGGAATGTTTATTTTTAGTTGTTAATATGGAAGAAAATATTATGTTCTCAATTTTTTTTTATCCGATGGACCATTTATCGGCATAATACATAGAGTTGGTATGGCTTTATTTTTGTAATTTTTCATAATTAAATTATCCTGACATTCATCAAAACCTGAAATAACCATCAAAGTCCACTAAAAACCCATTTCACTACACTTACCACCTTATTTTTTTTCTTTTATATTTATTTATTCTAAATAACAAAACATAATGTGTATATATGTACGGGTAAAGTACAAAGTATGGTTAGAGTTCACATTATCTGGGTACTGTGAACACTATCTGTACCTGTTGGATAAAGTAAAAATATTATTTATAAAAACTTTTATTTCGTATATTACTCGGGTATTTTACATATTATCTACGACTGAATGGGTAAAGTACTAATTCAAAAAAATAAAATTATTTTGAATGTGTTGAAACTTTCATGGATTGTCATATTATTTGAAAAGCTTGAGGATTTATCCATGTTTGCAATTGATTGCTGACGTTTCGGACTCATTGCGGGTCCATCTTCGGAGCGATAGTTACTGCTCGGTGGCTGAAACTATACTGGCGGCTTATCTTGTTATCAGTTTGTTTTTATACGTTGGTTGTTCATCATATCAGTTGTTTACCGTATCANTGTTTTTATACGTTGGTTGTTTATCATATCAGTTGTTTACCGTATCGGTTGTTTATCATATCTGTTTATGACTCATGTTGTTTACGGTATCTTGTTTTTGTTGACGACTTTGTTTTTGATTATTGTTGTTGTTTTTAGTGTGTTCGGCTACTGCGGATTTTTCTATCCTTTGGTAATCCACGTCTTTTTCGTGTTCTTTTATTCTTGTGGAATAACGCGCTAAACTCAAAGGACATGACATCCAATTCGATAAAGTAAAAATATTAAATAAAGAAACTCATTTTGGCATACGAATGTACAAAGAGACAATAGAAATCTAAATCCAGAGAATTTCAACAGAGAAGACGGATGGAAAATAAGCAAAACTTGGTTACCCATCATACACCAGACAAAATGAAAATCAACTAACAACACTGAAAACAGTTCAACACAAGAAAAAGTTACTATCAACGTAATGGAAAACTGTCGGTGCAGAAAAGGAAGACCAAAATGCCAAGAATGTCAAAAAAAACAACAACAATAATCAAAAACAAAGTCGTCAACAAAAACAAGATACCGTAAACAACATGAGTCATAAACAGATATGATAAACAACCGATACGGTAAACAACTGATATGATAAACAACCAACGTATAAAAACAAACTGATAACAAGATAAGCCGCCAGTATAGTTTCAGCCACCGAGCAGTAACTATTGCTCCGAAGATGGACCTGCAATGAGTCCGAAATGTCAGCAATCAACTGCAAACATGGATAAATATTCAAGCTTTTCAAATAATAAAATTATTTATTATTATTACTATTTACTTAATTAAAATTAAAAATACAATTATTCATTACAACAAAAATTTAAGTTCGGATGACATTTAGAATTACAGAGTATTCTCCCGGATATCGATAAGATGTTTTGCAACTTCTTCTCTTTGTTTTTAAGGGTCATTTGTTGAACGAATTTAGTAAGGTGATCCTGATATACTATAATAAACCGGAACTCTCCATCCCACTGTGACTGCATATCAATCAGATCCACTTGGCACCCACTATTAATCTGTGTGTTTCATCAAGAACAATTATCTACAATCGATATTTTATTCTATACTTTTTATCAAAGTACTTTATCCACTCAGTCGTAGATAATATGTAAAATACTCGAGTAATGTACGAAATAAATGTTTTTATAAATAATATTTATACTTTATCCAATAGGTACAGGTAGTGTTCACATTACCCGGATAATGTGAACTCTAACCATACTTTGTACGTTACCCGTAAAATATATATATATATATAATAAATTATTATTAAACAACACCCGAGTAAAAAAAAAAAGCCAATTTTAAAAGTTGTATTTTTTTAGTAACATTTTCTATAATTATGTACATGATATAAAAAAATCATTGTAATATTATAAATTATTAAACACTTAAATTAAAAATATTAAATATGTATTTATAATTATAAGTAGAAATAAAAAGTAATTTATTAGTACAATCACGCCGATCGAATTTTACTAGTGTATAATTAACATTTGGTTTACCATACAATAACTTATCTGTTTTATTGTATCGCTAACTATTTCATGAAGATACATACTGAACTAATTAGTTTTGATACTGCCCTAATTAGTTAATAGTTACTATGGTCAATAATGGAATTTGTTAATTTATTAAATATGCTGCAGTATACTAAAAATAATGCAGAATAATAAAAAAACAAAAATAATTTATATAATTCACAATACTTTAGATTGACAACTACAGATTGAAGGAAATTATTTCAAATCTGTAGATGATAGAAATGATTCTACCAAAAATATTGGTATGATGTAGTAATACAAAAAAAGAAGATTGAGACATACAGGAGTGTGGAAATTATAGAGACATAAAACTTAAGAATTATAGTATGAAAATTTGGGAAAAGGTAATAGATAAGAGAATAAGAAATGAGACATCGATATCTAAAAACCAGTTTAGATATATGCTTGGTAATTCAACAATGGAGCCATTATTTTTTGTGAGTCAACTAATAGAAAAGTATAGGGAAAAGAAGAAAAAGCCGTGTATCATATTTATAAATTTGGAGAAAGTGCATGATAATGTACCGAGAGAGGTTTTAAAGTTGGCATTAATGAGAAAAGGAGTTCCAATAAGACATATTAATGTAATTGATTATATGTAAGATGGCACTTGTGTCAGGGTAAATAGCGTAGAAGGAGTCACAGAAAGTTTTAGGATAAGAGTGGGAGTACACCAAGGTTCTGCATTAAGCCCTTATTTATTTTTTATATTGATGAATGAAATTACTAGAGAAATACAAGGAGAAGTGCCGTGGTGCATTTTGTTCGCTGACAATAATATGTTAATTTGAGAAAATAGGGAGGAAATTAATCAACCAGCTATGATGTATGGTTCAGAGTATTACAGAGATGGAGGGATGTAATTGAATGCGATATGAGGACAGCTTATGTGAGCGTGGATGATGTGGGAGAACGTGTCAAGTGGAAGTTTAGGAATTGAGTTCCTGACCCCAAGTAGTTGGGATTTAGGCCATGAAAAAGAAGAAGATTGACTCTTATTAGTTTGAAATCTTATCTGATAATTTTTCTTAGTTTTTATGATAACTTCAGTGACAATATTAATAAATGATAAGCAAAATAATACAAATTTCAGTTTCAATTCACAAATTAACACTTTGATAATAATTATATTATTGTAAAAAAATGAATATAATTTATAAATAAAAGTGTTAATTATCTAAAATGAACGACCATTATTGTGGACACAAACAGGACAGCCTTCTGCAATCTCATATTATAATATCGATTAGTTTATTACGACAATAATGTTGAAACATTATTAAAAATTTATTTATCGAAATCAAAAAAAAAAATTATAAATTACTATTTCATGTAGAAGGGTTTTCGTTATAGTTTTCTTTCGATACGTATTTATCTTTTATACAATTTTTTAATAATGCGTGACAGTAAAATTACTTTCTAAGCTTAATTTTTAAATTTCCAATAACGGTTAAATTTATTTTGCTAACAAAATTTTAATTATAATAATACAAAAATATGATAAATTCTGTTTTTAGCTTGGTTGTATAGCCGAGAAAAACTGATTTATCTAAAGATTTTTTTAATCTATACGCATAATTATTAAAGATTAATAATAATAAGTAACTATTGCAGAATCAAAGAAAATATTTTTGGTACAAGTACTAATAATAAAGATGACTCCAGTATTTTTTGCTCCCTACTTTTTTTTTTTGTAAAACGCACGAGAAATTTTGTTTATAATAAGTCATCATTAGCGCTAAATAGCCGTTGCAAAATTAGTTTTGTGGTTAAAGTATTTAATTTCAGAAACTATTACAAATATATTAAACAAAACTTTGATAGAAAAGAGTTCTATTTTAAAAAACAATTACTTTGAAATTTTTGTTTCTTTGTTTAAATATGCATATTTTATAGGTACACACGTATATTAGTAATACTTTATGCCTTTGTTATGTCAATCTAGATCCAATTTATATGCCAATAGCTATAGTATTACTCAACTTTTACAAAATATAATTAATAAAAAAAAGATTTTTGACAATAATAGTAATATAAATACTTGAGTAATATTTATTGGTTGATATGTTGCTGATTTGGTTTTCAGTTTTTGTGGCCAAAATCTTAGCAGATTTTGACGCAAATTATGAGCTTATCGAGAACTTTTTAACGCATAAATCGTTAAATAAAGTTGTACTAGCCACTTGTTGGTCACAAAGAGGTATTTTTTTTTTATTATTTCAGTATTTATATATTATATATAGTTAAATTTCATTAATTATTGCAGATAATTATTTAACAATTCAAAAATTTAGTAAAAACAATATTTCTGTATCATTTTTAAATATCAACTACTACCAAGAAGAAGTTTTGTTTATGAATGATTACTTTTCATTATCAGTATATGATACTATATTAGGGATAATTTTTGATTGGTCCTGCTTTGAAAATGAACAATTTGAAGTAATTAATTAAATATTTAAATATGGTGAAAATCTTATTTTATATTTAATAGGGCATATTTTGAATGTGTTCAAAATTTTATCTTACAAGTTAGCTATAAATAATACTATTTTTAATTGAATATATTTAAAATGAATAATCAAACAGATTAATTTTTAAACATTTATTTAATTTACCAAATTTTTAAAAAAACGAATAATCTAATTTTTATTTTGTCAATCAAAAATATTAAAAGAACTATAAATAGCAATTTAAATTAATTAATTATGAATCTGGTTAAAACAGATTTGATAAAAATCAATTGTATTTATTTAGTAATAATAAATAATGTTTTATTTTTTTCAATGAGCTATCTAGTAATGTTTAAATAATTTTTATTTTATTCAGTTTTCCAGCACATTCTATTGGAATTCGAGTTACCATTGGCTTATGATCATGAAGGATAATACTATTCCGAAATTTTTAAATCAGAAAAAAATTAATATTACAGTTGACTGTGAAATTATATTAGCATATCAATATGGGTTGAAACAAAACGAATGGTTTCTTTATGATGTCTACCGCACAGCTTATGAACCAAGAGGTGTGCTTGTTGTCGAAGAACTTAATTACACCATGTTTGGTAGATGGGGTAATCGCTCTTGGAAATTCGACAAACGAAGAAATTTAAAGAATTTAACGTTAAATGCTGTTACATTGGTAAGTTATCATTTTAAACTATTTTTTAATTTTGTTAAAACAAAATAATTTTTATTACATAAGATTAATTTTTACTTAATACTTATTAATTAAGTAATAAATTAAAAATATATTAATTATTACATTTAGGTCTACTCTTATGATATACCAATGGAAAATATAAGAAAGTTTAATCAAATATCTAATGATGATCTTATAAAAAACTTACAATCGAGTGATGATATTCGTCTAAACAGTTTTCAAAAATTTAACTATGCTGTAATGTATCTACTTACTAGAAATGTATTAAATATGACGTAATTAAATTTTTTTTTATTTAATTACTTTTGATATTTAAAACATTATAAATATAATAAACATTTTTACTTGAGGATGAATCTAATTCCGTCGTTCATATTGAGAAATAGATTAAATGATTCATGGAGTAGTGTTATTAATACATTAAAAAGTGAGAATTCAGATTTTTCCATCGTTGCAACACCTATAACAACTACGAAATTAGAGATAGTAGATTTCTCGGCTATATTTTTATGGAGTTTCAAGTAAATATATATATATCCATTTTGAAATTATTTTTGCCGTATAATAATATTTTTCTTTTTCTTTTATAAAAATAGACCTTGTTTTATTATTCGTCGATTACGAACTTTGCCAAATTCCATTAACATATTTGTACGACCTTTTGAATTAAATGTCTGGCTTTGCCTCATCGGAGTGATTACTTTATCTGCTGGAGTTTACTATATTATTTTTTATTTTGAATCAGAAAATTCAACATTTACAATGAAAACTTGGAGTGATATTATATTGTTGAAAATCGGTGCTTTGTGCCAGCAAGGTCAGTATAAAAAACAAATTTATAATTTTTTTTTTATTTCGTATATTTAAAATTATTATATAATATTTCATTTAAGGCACAGTTATGGATATCATCAAGTTTAGCAATCGAATAATTGTTTTACAATTATTCATATTCAGTATGATAGTATATCAATTTTATTCGTCTAGTATAGTATCTGGTTTACTTAGACCGATTTCCATGAAAATTGATACAGCCCAAAAATTAGAGGAAAGTGGACTGGATATTGGCATAGAAAATGTGAATATTGTTTCATCGGTTGTTAAGGTATTTTTTCCTAATTATATTTTCATTAAAACAGCACATTTAATCGTAATTTTTATATTTTCAAATTTTTTATTATTCATACATAAATTTATCATCATTGTTAATTGTTTTCTTTATATTTATAATTATTGGACTAATTTTAGAATTGTGGAAGTCCTACGTCAAAAAAAAAAATCTCAATAAAATTTCCGAAAAAAAGGTTTCATCAACTTATATATTTAACAATAAATCAACATTTTTTAAAACTTTTTTAGTTGTTTAGTGAAACGGATCCATTTATGAAAAAAGTTTTGGATAGACAAGTTAATTTAAAAAATGAATATTTTTCTGCCGAAGAGGGAATAAAAAAATTGAAAATTGGAAACTATGCTTTTTTTACTGACCCAGCTACAAGTTATTTTCTAATCAATGACATATTTACTGAAAGAGAAAAATGTGATTTATTTGAGTTTCAAATAAAAAACCCCGAAGTTACTGGATACATGATTAAAAAAAAATCACCTTATAAAAAATTAATTATTTATGGGTATTCACAATTTTAAGACGTTTTAATAATTGTAATCTTAAAAATTTTAATAATTCATAATAATGTTTATTTAAATATATAGAAATAGCTTGCTGCTTGAAATTGGCGTGATAAACAGAGAGTTCAAAATATGGCATGCAACCAAACCTCAATGTATAGATAAAAAGAAAGTAACCGAAGAAAACTTCCTTAGTGTACAGTTTAAAGACATTAAATCAATAATATTCTTCTTGATATTTTTTGTTTTAGTGTCAATAATTATTATTATTTTAGAAATAATTGTACACCGTTACAAACTTGAATATATACATTAACAGTAAATAGTTTTACTATAATTTAGTTTAGACTTAAGTTTAAATCCAAAAAAAAATTTCATTTCAAATTTTTTAAAAAAGACCATCAATTAATTTAAAATTTTATTTTTTAAAACTTTTCTTTTTATAATATTTTATTATTTCTTCTAAAAAATACATTTGGCTTTAGAAATAATGCAATTTTTTTTTCAGTTGGTGATTTATCTTTTACACGATATTAGAGTCCTATTATATATTTCGTAAAAATTCACTCAAATTATGAGTAAACAAATGTTTTATCTGGATTATTTGAAAGTACTAAATGCTTTAATTAAAGTAGTTAATTGAGTTTTAATTTTAGTTTTAATTTGCTACAGTTAAAATATAATCAAATAATAATTTATCTGTACTTTTGTCAAGTAAACTTTTTATTTATGTATATGTATATTTAAAACTTAACTAATTGGATACTAAAATAATGATATACACGTCATGACAATCATTATACTGTTCATGCATTAATAAGTAATATTACTACCATTAAAATTAATTATACTGAATATTATTATGAACTCTACGTATTAAATTAGTTTTAAAAACATTGTTGATACTATCACAATCGTTTTTGTAACAATAATACTTTTGTAAAACTATATAACTCATTATAATAATATTTATCCTCAATTTTTAAGTAAAAAATATTACCAAATTAAAAAAAAATTACTAAGTAACTCAAAATATTTATCAATCCATTTGAACTATAAAAATAACCTTTACGTTTGAAAATAACTAAAAATAATATTAAAAAAAATTGTATAACTAAAAATTAATTACTATCAATTAATTTTAGTAACTCGAAGTTACTTTGTAACATTTATTTTTATAAAGTGAAAAATTGAACATTACCACCTTTTCAATATGAAAAATCAGAAAACTCTAAAATTTTTATGTGTGATAAATGTTTTCAATACAATTTTTGATGTTAGCTCTAGCACATTAGATATAAACTGTACTGAACATAAGTGTGATTTAGTTAAGTCTTATTTAACCAACAGACACATCAAAACTGCAATACTATACACATTCTGTTGGACACCTACAAGTAATTTGTACTTTAAAGTAAATTAATTTAAGTCAACTTTACTTTAAAACTAATTTGACGCACAAATATTGTTATTATCTGTTATCTTTTCTTTCGACTATTTGGAGCAGGAATTTTTGACTTGAGGATTCTATTTTTCATGACATGAATAATTATGTGTTGAAAAAAAATTTCCTATTCAAATGTTCACTATAAAAACTCTTAACACGCCACTGTTGAACACTATAGTAACTTTCGATTTAATTTAGTATTTATTATATTCTTCTAAACTATAATATCATTTCTTAAAAATAATTTTATGCATTAAATAATAATTGTCATACTAGATAAAATGCAAACTATGAATGTATTGAGTTCTCTCAATATTACATCTTCGTTTCGCAGTACTGATGATTTTGTTCAAAAGGATCTAATTGAAAATATTTTAGATATTCCTCGATATCAAACTAGGCTTGGAGTTATAGTTGATTGGTCATGTGAAGAAAGTATTCACACTAGAGTATGTTACATTTTAATTATACAATTAATTAGTGATAAATTAAATAATATTATGTTACATTTTTTTTGGGAATAAGGATAAATGTATAATTTTTTGTAAAGAAAAAGTACTCAAAATAAACTTGATGAGCAAATAAAAAAATTATCCTGTACTAGAATCCAAGAATTACATATTATTGGAAATCTATTACGATTCTTTCTTTATTACGATTTTTAATTATCTACATCAATTAATTAAGAAAATAAAAAATTGTAAAATATTTTTTTAGTATACAGTTATTAATATTTTTAATAAACAAATTTATACTTCTTTTTTTTATCTAAAAAAGTCTTTAATTGTGTTAAAATGAAAGCTATTTATAAACAAAAAAATCAGTATTTTCAAAATCGTTTTAAAATAAATTTTCTATTCTTAAAAATACCTAAGTGTTAGTATTTTTACACCCTTAATTATATATTACTTAATTAAACGATATTAAATTTCTTTTTAAGTTTTTAGATAGCGATCTATGGAATTCTAGTTATTTTTGGTTAATGATGGATGCAAAGTTCGATGTAAAAGAAATGGAATATATTTTGAACTTAAGAAATATAAATTTAACTTTACATAGTGAAATTATTTTAACATACTTTAATATAAATTATAAAAAGTGGCAAATGTATGACATTTATCGCACTGCTTATGCACCAAGAGGTCAAATAATTTATAAAAAAATTGACAGCCCTCGCTTTGGTGAATGGGGCACACGATTTTGGAAATATAATCAAAGGTCAAATTTGTATAATTTAACTTTAAATGCTATTATTGTTGTAAGTTAATCTGTAATATTTGTATACAAGGTTTTTGATAAATATTAAATAAAATAACTATTTATTTACTTTAAACCAATTGAAATAGGCTAACTCATATGGATCCAATGCATACAATACAAGCGAGGATAGATTACAAGGTAAAGAACTGATTCAGTATTTAAAGGATTACCAAGTACATAATTATGATACCATAAATAGATACAGCTATGCAATACTTTTACCACTATCAGATATGTTAAACTTTTCGTAATGAAAAATAATAATTATGGTCTTTATTACACCTGGATATAGGACATTTATTTTTAGATTTACTTTAAAATCATCAAATTCATGGGGTGCGATGATAAATGGTTCTTGGGATGGGACAATTGCATCTTTGATTAGTGGCAAAGCTGATTTCACAGGAGTAGCAGCTTATAAAAATGATAGACTTGATGTGGTTGACTACACAGCTCTACCACTTTGGAGACACAGGTTAATTTACCATAAAAATGTTTAATTATAAATTTTATATAAATTTTCATTTAATGTAGATCATGCTTTATATTTCGACATCCTACTACAGCTGAAGGACATCATGCATTATTAAAAGCGTTTTCCAAAAATGCATGGCAATGTTTATCTGTAATTTTTATATTGAATGTAATTGTATTTTACATTATTTTTTACTTTGAGGGTCATACATCTCCAACAACACTTCATTTATGGCTCAATGTTATTCTTATAAATATAAGCGCATGTTGTCAGCAAAGTAAGTTAAACTTTTTTATTTACTTTGTTCATGCCAATTATGTTTTAGGTGAATAAAAATTAATATGAATAGGTTATTTTCATATATTAATTAGGTTAATTAATTTTTTTTTATTTTAGGTTACCATGTAGATCAAAAGAAACTAGCTAGTAGGATGATTTTTATTTTAGTTTTTTTATGTGGAATGTTATCATATCAATTTTATTCATCAAGTATTGTTGCTGGTTTGCTTAGTCCACCAGTCAAATCAATTGATACCTTAGAAAAACTAGCCGATAGTAATTTTAAAATAGGAATTGAAGATAGCTTTACCGAGCATTTATTATTTAATGTATCTATTTATTTCTCATTAACATTAGTTAAATAAATATATTTAATTTAACAATTTAAAAACTTTATATTAGAATATGTTTTTGCAAATTTCATCAATAAGGAAAATGATAGGTGTCGATGATTCCTCATCGATCCATAGAGCCGAATATGTTATGCACACAGAGGGTGCTGAAAAAATTAGACAAGGTAATTATGCCTTTTATACGGATACTACTTCCAGCTATTGGTTTTTAAGTAAAATGTTCGTTGAAAAAGAAAAATGTGACTTAAAAGAAATAGATGTTATAAAACCAACAATATGTAGTGTGATGTTGCAAAAAAAATCACCTTATACAGAAATATTTTCATATGGGTATTAAAACGTTTTGTTATTTGAACAATTTCGATTTTACTGAATTTTTAATTTTTGTAATAGATATGTTAGACTAATGGAAGTTGGATTAATTAAAAGAGAGCTGAATAGATGGAATGGTACTAAACCAACTTGTATCTATAGCAATATACAATCTGAAAATGCTTTTGTTAGTATAGCACTTGGTGATATACTTCCAGCCTTATCATTACTCTTCTTTGGTATATTAACATCTATAACAATTTTAGTTATAGAAAATGTTACAAATGTGTATAAAATAAATTAAATTTTAAAATTCATTGATTTAATTTTCAAATAACACATAAATAATATTTTAATTTCTGCATTAATCATGCAGACCACAAAGTTCTGTTTCCTATATCACCTTTGAACTTTAAGAGACCTAGAGATTTAAGACCAATTTACTTTAAAAGATTAAATTTATATGGACTTCTTAAATACAACCTCTACAGCTCTTAGATCGAATCAACCTCCATGATAATTTAAACAACTATGTAACTTTGACATGATCAAACACAAGAAAATCAACAACTACAGCAATATAACTAACCTTTTTAATTAAATCGTCGATTTTAGTTATCCTGAACATAATTATATCTATACGGATGTTACTAAATCAAAAAAACTGGGAGGTCTAGTAATTATTTAAGATTAACACATATAATAATACAAACTCGCAAATAATTTTTGTATATTCTCAACAGAACTTAAAATTCATTAAAATATTGATAAATACAATAGCAAACAACATATAAAACACAATTTATTATTATTAGTGAATTATTAAGTTCAATAAATTAAATAAATTATCCTTACTCTAAAAATGTATTAATCCAACATTTAAAAGAGACTTAATGTAGTACATGCAAACCATAAACCAAATTAAATGATTTAATAAGTATTATTGTGAAATCATATATATACATGTTTTTTTTTTTTTTTATCGACCTATTGAATATTTTAATAATTAGTTATAGCATGTTAATATTGAGACTAATAGCCAGAAATTCTAAAGTCTTATTAATAAAAAAAAAAAAAATGTAATCCAAGAAATTATATATGTTTAAAAATAAAATATTAAAATTTTAACAGAAATAATAAAATCTATTTATTCAATTTTATCAGACAAAAATCATCATCTATAATATCATCGTAAACTAACATCAAGGATAATGATGTTGGATACAGATATTTCAAAACGAAAAGTTCGTCCAATTTTCATGCTCACATTTTCTTAAAATTATACATTATAGGTATCTTAAATAGATAAATAATATAGAGAGAGGGGTTCCCTTTGTACATTTAAAAATAAAATACATAGATAATCCAAAAAATGATGAGATTGAAATTCTTAAAAATTAGGATTATTATAAAAGATAAAAAATAATTAAAATTAATTTTTAAACTAATATCTTTCATGTAGAATACATAATTTGATACTTTTCACTTATAGTAATCCCTTGAAATTGATTATTGTAGATGTGTATGAGGTACACTTCAAAGTTGTGTTTTATCTTAGCATTCGGTTTATTTAGGATTTAATTCCTAGAATATATTTCATGTGTAGGAGGAATAGTTAAAAGTTGTAGAGTGTAAGATATGATTATATCTCCTATTTGATAATATGATTAATAATATAAAGAAGCGCATCAAATTGCAAAAATCTAGCTTTGCATATTTATTTTGTGAGTAATTGAGTGTATTAAGAAAAATAATTCGCTCTGTATATGAGTATGTAACTAAGAAACTATACATTCTTTATAAACTTTATGTTTTATTAGAGTTCATTTTTAAATATATTTAGAAATTGGGAACTTAGAAAAGTTCCTAATTACTCATTATAATTATTTCAAAGAAAAGTTTTATTAACATAATTATTATTTTGAGAAAAATCCAGTTCTCAGCGTTAAAATAATCACCTTGTATAATTGAAAATAAATAATAAAAATAATTTAATTATAATTCAATTTTTTTTATTAAACATTCGTAAAGTTTCACAAAATAGAGCAAGTATACTATTTTGCATTCTTGAATTTTGTATCATTAATTAAGGAATAAAAAGCGTCTTATGAATTAGAATCCTTCACGCAAATTACGCCATGACATAATGTGTGTGAAGGATGAGGGAGCTTAAGCTCCCATAGATACATCCATAACCTTACAAAAACAAAAATAAATTGTGTTTTTAAAAGGAGGGAAAATTAACAAGAAGACGTGGTAGAAAAGATACCCATTATTACACAGTCTTATTAACTAGAGTATGTGATTATAGCCTCACAGACAAATTTTTATGTAAATAATTACTTTACCCTATGAAAATTTGCATTGTTTTTTGATAAGTTAACAAAGACTGTAATTTTTTTCAATATAATTATCGACAAATTCGATGTCACTTTTTATTTGGAAGTAAAACTAATCATTATGTTACTCATAAAACTATACTATAATTAAAATATAAAACTATAATTATATACATATATATACAGAGTGAAAAATTTTTTATTTCTTTTAGTTGCATATATTTCTTGATTTATCGCTAATAATTACTATTTAGAATCATCCCGATATCTTCTAAAAGTGTCAGGTTTATTTTTTAAATGGAAACATATATACTTAATTAGCTTATAAAATAGAAAATAATGTAATCAAGTAAGTAAATGATTAGTCAATAATAACTTTTGGACAAGTACTTTGGAAGCTATTCTTATATCTATACCTAAGCGGAACGAATATTACAGTCGGTAATTGACTAGTGATTAAAATAGTAGCACTTGTCCTCACGTCCAGTCGATACTTTAAATTGTTAATAGATTCTGAAATATTATCCTTAATAAACCACACTGTATATATATTATACTTTTAAGTAAAAATTTTAAGTTTAACTATTTTTGTAAAAATAAATTGTCATTTCAAAACTGAATATAAATTTCAATATAAAGATAATAATTAAAAATCTAGATGTTTGGTTCATCTTATTTTTATTTGAGATAATTTTGAAATTAATTCTAGAACAATAAATGTAAACTACATTAAGCAAAAATGCAATTCAGTCAAGTCTTTTTTGACCAATTAACCTATCAACATTATACTATACATCTTGTTACATTTATTGCTTACACTATAGTGTAAGCGCACTGTTCGTATTTAAAGTTTAATTCTATTACATTTATTTTCCCCATCTTTAAAAATTCTTTTTATATAATATATAAATTAAAAAAAGTTACTTATTATGTAATTTTACTGAAATTTTTGAGGAACAAAGTCCCTCCTGAGCACCTCCATCATTAGCACTTATGAAGGACGTATAATTTATGGCATATAATGTCAGATTGAATAGTGAATTGTTTTGTACTTTTTATTAATTTAAACTATTCATACTGTCAAATAATGAAAAATAGATTAAATGAAGAATTTATTTTTCTTATTAGATGTTATACAAATTATTAAATTATTAATGTACCATTTTTTAATTAACTGAATAATTGTTATATTTAGTTATTGTTTTTAAGATGCAGCCTTAGAAGTTTTAACTTACATTAATTTAATAAACAAAAATCGATTGTGTTTAATGGTATGATACAAGTATTAGTGTTGAACTAATTTCCACTTACATTTTTTTTAACAAGTAAAATAAAGTTTTAATCTTATATGTTTAAATCTTTTTTTTAATTTTAATCGTCAAACATGTCAACTATAAATTAATTTCTTTTTATAAATATTTTTTATTTTAAAATCTATTAAATCAAACTAAACATATGTATTCTTTCATCATATTTTCATAGACAATCAGTCTGTTAAAAAAAAAAAGAATTAATTTTCATGTTAACTATTATGTTAAACTATAAAATTAAATTGAAGTTATAGAATAAATAAGTATTATGTAGCTTCAAATGTACTTTGAGATTATGAAATATTAAATCTAGCTCGATTTGTTTAAATTGGTGTTATTTTTATTAAGAATGTTGTACAGCGATCTTTTGCAGTATGGTAAGTTAATATTATAGTATGTACAATCTAATAAAATTTTGTTATTTTTGTAGAGGAGAAAAATTATTATGTTCAAGAAACTATAATTTTATGTAGTTAAATAATTTATTCGTCATTTCAGGAATAAAACTGATTAACTATAATAATAGTTCAGATTTATGTTTCTTTTTGATTATAAAAAAAACTTAAAAGTTTTTTTTGTATCTGCATTTCAAGACGTAGATAAAAATATACAATGTAAAATATTTAATGTACATTTTGTTTTCTAATACATTTTTTTAATAATTTTATTAATAAGTAAAAGAAAATAGATAGTTTCTTTTTTTTAATCAAATCAATGTTTGTTACAATTTTAATAACATATAAATAAAATACATTGAACCTATAAATTATTTAGAATTAAAAGTAATTAAAATTTAAATCGGAATGTATATTAATTTGTAATTGCTTTCATCTTGTATAACTTAAAAAAATGTATTAAAAAAAACTTTGATAAAACAATAAATTTATTGTTAATACATCTAATAACTTTTTTTTGTTAATTTATCAAACATTTTTAGGATAATAAAAATTAATACATAAATATAATTATTACTTAGTATATTAATATACTATGTATATTTGTATAACATGTAATTTATAAATATATTTTATTATAGAAGTCCGTCTATCAAAGTAATGATATCTAAATCGTGGCCAAGTTTGCTGTCTCTTAAGTACATAAATTTCAATCATACTTTCATAAGCAAAATTGTTCGCAATGCTTAATATTAGTTAGTTTTTAAATGAACAGATTTTATCGCAATTGTAAATGAATCCCATTTGCAGTAATGCCTGATGGTACTTTGAATATACTGAAAAAACTCCTTGTTAAAATTAACAAATTTTTATCAATGTACGTCCAATAATATTTTTGTTAAATAATAGTATGTTTTTTTATTAGTTACCCATTCCATTTTTAAAATGTTGAATTCTGAAAACATATTAATTTTTAGAGCCACTATAACAAAACAGGATAGCATTCCCTTTTCCTGCCTACTATGTCGCGTTCATTAAATTTTATTTTGTTTCGTGGTATTTCTAATGATCTATAGCGATAGTTTACTAAACGTCGTATAGATGAGATTTATAACTTAACAATGCATTGAGTCACTTAGGACTAATTATGTTGTAATAATAATCCTCATACACACAGCTCTTCAATGTCCCAACGAAATAAAAAATTAGGAGGTGTTAAATCTGGATTAGGTGGTATAAACTCTTCATTTCGCGAAATTCAATTAAATTAAAAAAATATTGATCGCATGTAAAAACCTTCATGGCAAACATCTGTCAAAAATTTTGTTCAAAAAATAAATTTTATGTTAAATAACAAGGTTTCTACTTTATTTTAGTTTTTATATGGTCATCTTATTTCAAAGTCATTATTTATGATACATTTAAAAATGGGGGAGTTCATTTTGATCCACCTATATACGTAATATATACTCAATGCTACTATGTTGCTATTTAACTAATTTAATATATTTACACTGTACATGTATGTTTCGTGTGATGTGTTCAAAAATACCTTAAAACGAATAAATATGTAATTCGCCTACCATTAAAATATACGGTTGTTGGATTTTTGTATTTGTACCTACTATTTTATATTTCATATACATAACGGCTTATTAAAATAAGCTCTATATAATTGTAGCTCTTTTATAATGCGTTTCCGGTTAGTGCTTAATACAATAGCTTCACTGAGGAATCGTTGTTCTGCATCAGAGTATCATATTATTTTGATTATTATGCATACATACGAATGTACACGAACGAACGGGATTGCCGCCAGATGATTTTTGTTTACAAGTTCAACCTCCTGTTGATATACAGTTGTTCGTGTGATAATATAAAAATACGCTTAGTGATAACTGTCTACATGTTATTATTTACATAGTACAATTGAAACAATTTTTATGGTTTATACGTGTTAGCCGCGATCTAATACAGATTTTTTTATTAAAAATGATTTACTAATATAAATTTTTGCTCGTCTACCATAGCTGAAAGTATGGTAGATTATAACAGGCTGTGCCAAAGGTTTGAACTAGATGCAGTTCTAAGTCCTGAAGGATTATTCACTATTGATGAACTCATTGGTGAAGGCACTTATGGCGAAGTGTTTCGAGCCAAAGATAATAGAACAGGTAATTTTTAAAAAATATATAGTTGGTATTTTTAAACTTAGCCAAATGTTGTATATTTTTTTATATAAGATAGTAGTCATAAGGTGCTCTCTTAATGTATTATTATTATTTAGTATCTTAATTTAGTAATTTACTAAGAAATTAATAAATAGAAATTCTTATATAAAAATTAATAAATAATGATCAATATTAGTATTTGATTTTGTAGTTTTAAATTATTATTTTTAGAAGTTTTATACATTACCCAGGCATTTTATGCGACCTCATACTAGGTCGTATAAATAATTATGTTTCAAATATAATTTTATCTATTCTGAATATGTAGGAGAAACTGTTGCTATTAAGATACTTGAAGATATTGCTGGTAATGAAGAAGAAATAGAAGATGAATATTTAGCTTTAAGAGATCTTAGCTTGCATCCAAATATTCCATCATTTTATGGACTATATTTTGTTAAAGGAACAAAGGAACTTACAGATCAATTATGGTTTGTAATGGAAGTAAGAAATATGTTTTAGCTTGATATATTTTAGTACTGTAACATGAGAACACCAACATAATAGTAAATTAGGTCATTAGGTTTTCTGTAAGTATTTAGAATTTATTTAATCCATGAAAATAATATATTACAATTATAGTTTTGTTTACAGTTTTTAAATGTATTATATATATCTAACACTCTATATAGTTAAATTCCTAGTTAATATCATTGTTTAGCGTTAAGAAAACGAAACACAAAAATGTTTATTTATTTCATATATGTACTTGGATTGACTAAAACAAATTTATCAAAATTCAAATGCTCACATATTTCATGTGAAATATTAAATTTTTTTTAAATAAACTAAAAATTTAGTTTTATAATCTTTAAATCATATAAATAATAAGGTTATTATTAAATTAGCACACTAGTTATCAATCATTCTTATATTAATTTAGATAAAATACCTTTCAAAGTTTATGTAGTGACTATAATAAAACATTAAAATATAAAACCACTTATTATCATTAAAATAGCCATCTAATTAAATTATTAAAATATTTTTAACTTTTATGTTAATAATGATATTGTATCTTTTAATATGATATTAAATCTTTTATCTCATACATTTGTGTATATATACATGAAGGTATAAAAACCAAAAGGTATTATCTCTCATGTACATTTTGTACATGATAGAATTAAGTATTTTTTGTCATAATATAAAGGGGTATGTATTAGTAACTTAAAACAAATTTGTGTTTGCCTAATGAAAAGGTATTGCTATGTAATTCCTTGGCTCACCTGTTAAAATCCATTACTGTGATTTCTTTATTTCTTGTTTTCAAAATCAACTCTATTTGAATATCTATTAGTCAGCGTTGTTTATGTCAATATTATTTGAATCTAAAAGTAACATACTATTTACGTATGCTTTAATAAAATGATTTTTTACTTGCATATAATAAAAATAGTATGAACTGGTCATAAATTATGAAATCACTGTTTTTCCTTAAAAATTCTTTAAATCATGCTTAATTCATTTTTTTTATTAAATTGATGGTTTTTTTCCTTATATTTTTTTTTGTGTAATTAATTTTTCTTTACTTTGTTTTGTTTTCAATATATTTTGATTTTATTTATACTAACATTTAAAAAATGGTTTAGACACTACTAAACCATTTTTTACATTAATTAAAATTAAAAATTATATTGAAGGTTGTTAATAAAACCTGTTTAAAACATAAGTAAACATTTAAAATGTCCCTTAAGACCAATGTAAATTTTGAAATTTTTAGTGTTTTAAACACTGCATGTTTAAAACATAACAACCCTGATAATAATAGATTAAAATATATATATGTATAAAAATATTTTAATACATGACATAAATATTGACACACACAAAAATTAATCAAACTTATATATATAATTTATACAATTTACAGTTGTGTGATGGAGGATCAGTTACTGATTTAGTGCATGGTTTAAAAGCACAAGGAAAACAGCTTTCTGAAGATCAAATTGCATATATTTTACATGAAACATTACAGGTAATAATAAATGTATTTAAATTGAGATTGCAGAGGAAATATTTTTACTTGTTGTATTTATCATATTTCATTTTTATTTTTGGTATTCTTATTATAAGCATATACAATAACATTAAAATAGCCTTATATTACTCTTTGAAAACCATGGTTGTGTCTTCTAATGAGAGGATTTCTGGCAGGTGCTAATTAACAATAGGTATGGTTTAATAATGTGTATATAAAGATATACATTTACATATATATATAGATAGATAAATATATACATAACTTTATTTGATCAGATTCTATTTTTAATGAAAACAAAAAAAGACATAAATGGTTGGCCATTTATATTGAATATTAGTGTGTGTTAACTCAAATAGAGATATAAATAAATTATAAAATTTATCTATGAAAAATACAAAACAAAAGTTTTCCCAAAAACTAAAATAAGCAATTACTATAATATAATCAAAGGGTGTCCCAACCATTCTTCCCTAGTTTCTATGGTATATTCTGAAGAGTTCGTTATTCTATTGCTAGAGAAAAGAATAAAATCTCTAAATATTAGTCTATTATTTATTTAGCCAGCCAAGTTATCTATGACTCAAACTTAATCAATCGGCAGTGTACATTAGACATATCTGCCTTATCAACACTATAACTCATTTTTCAAAAAAGATTTAACGACTGTTCTAGAGCTGCATTTGATTTAAACATAAAATAATGAATACACATTTGTTTAGTTAGTTTATTATAAATATTTTTATCTAAATTAAACACGTGAGAGGAACTTGATGTTAAAATATTTACGAGTCTATTAATAAATTAAAATTTAATTTTGTATAAAATAATCAATAAAACTAAAATTACAATCATATGGTATGAATTTTTAGTTATAATAATTATTGTATAACTATCTAATATAATATAAAAAAATATATTCAATAAATTAGTATAATTTATAAAATCATATATAAAAGCTGATGTCAGTAAAATAGTTATTTCTAAATTATTATTTAACTTGTATTTAAAACAGAAATATGTCAAATTATTACATATAGAATTATTAGCTGCTACAAAAATCAATAGTGTAATTTATTTTTATTCTATATAAATAATATGCATCATATTTCAAATCTATAAAATACTAATTCTTTAATTTTAATTATCTTTTAATTAATTAATGTATTTGAAAATATCTTATTAAGTTTTATATATTTACTTAAAAATTAATTTTTACAGGCGCTTGCCTTCCTTCATCGAAATCATTGTATGCACAGAGATGTAAAGGGCCACAATATACTTTTAACTGAAAGTGGAGAAGTCAAACTAGTAGATTTTGGAGTTTCTTCTCATTTAGGAGCAACAATGGGACGACGCGATACATCAGTTGGAACACCCTATTGGATGGCTCCAGAGGTAAGCCATAAATGTAAAAATAATATATAAGCATTACACTATAATTTTTATCTCCTATCAATACAAATAAATTAAATGTATTGAATTAAAATTTTTAAAAGGTTTTCTTTTTATGTATTGTCTATCAAAAAGAATATTTCACAGTTTCAAATTTTTTTAATTTTGCATCAAAATAAATTAAAAACATGAAATTTTATAATAAAAATTTTCATACATTTTCTATAGTAACATTATCTTAGATCTTCGTCTTCTTCCTCACTTTAATCTCAACTATTTGGGGTCGGCCACCCTTATCCTAAACTTCCACAATCTTCCACATCCTCTACACTTACATCAGCTGTCCTCATATCACATTCAATAACATCTCTCCATCTCTTTGTTAGTCTTCCTCTACCTCTTCTTCCTTCAACATTCATTGTTACAACTGTTCGTACGGCTTCCAATTCTTCTCTCCTCATAACATGACCAAACCATCTAAGTCTATTTTCTCTTATCTTATCTACGATTGATTCTACACCTATACTCCCTCTTGTATGCTCGTTCCTTATCCTATCTTCTCTATCACTCCACTCATCTCTCTATGCGTTCTCATCTCTGCTACACTCATTTTCTGCTCTACTTTCTTATCAACCGCCCAACACCTGAACCATACATCATAGCTGGTCTCACTACAGTCTTGTAGAATTTACCTTTCAGCCTCATTGGAATTCTTTTATCACATAGGACACCAGACGCTTCTCTCCATTTTAACCACCCGCACTTAATCCTATGTCTTACATCCTCATCAATACCGCCGCTTTTTTGCACAACTGATCCTAAATACTTAAAACTTTCCTCCTCTCCAATCACGCCCTCGCCTATTGTCACTGGTCTCTTTATTTCACCTACCTCGTGTTCTCATTTATCAATTTCGTACTCTATATACTCTGTCTTACTCCTACTTAATCTTAAACCCTTTTCTTCGAGAGCTGATCTCCATACCTCTAGCCTTTGATTAATTTCCTCCCTTATAAAATTATCATAGATAAGTAATTTATATCATTTCTTTTTGACATTTATAACTGCAAACGTCAATATTTTTTTGGCTGTCCTGTAAAATAGATGGCAAACTATCTTTACTTAATGTAAAAAATAAATGCACTTTTTTTTTTTTGAAAACGAGATAAAAATCTAAAAGGCATTATTATGTAGGAAATGTTATTATCCCAGTAAACATTATATTAATTCGGGCCTTGAAAGTATAAGTAAAAATAAAAAGCAAATTTTAATTTGGTTTACTCATATTATACTATGTAAAATTTTATTACTCTTTCAATAAGTTTTTTTTCTATAATATATAAACAGTGTGTTTATTTATAATCCTACCCCAAATTTTTTAATAAATAATGTTTTTTTCAAAAAAATGTACAGATTAAAATTTTATATATTTTTTAAAACCATTGTAAATATTAATTTTATTGTAAAAAAAAATTATTCCTAAGGGTAGATATTGGAAATAGTTCTCGAAAGATCAATAGGAACCTATTATTATTTTTGTTCTATAAATTGGCCTAGATAAATTTTGACTGATCAATAATTGTTTTTTTATTATTACTCTTTGAAATATTAACATTTGAATATTTAAAAAGAGTTAGTATCGATGTAGTTTTTTGCGACATTCTATTTTTATCACAACGCACGGATAAAAATTCTTTCATGTTTCAAATCTCATTCATTTATAACTAAAAATTATATTAACTTTTAAAGTAATAATACAAAACTGTTTATCGACTAATCAAAATTTTATATTTGGACTATTTTCAATTTAATACAAAAAACATCCGAAATTTATTCCTAAAATCCACCTTTATAAATAATATTTTCTTACGATAAACTTAATATTAACTATGCTTCATAAAATTCTAATTAGTACATTTAAAAGAAAACTCATTATTTAAAAAAAAGTGGTTAGTAATTTTATTAATAAACTACATTGTATATTAGGATAGTTCTTTTTATTCTTATTAATATTTCAAAAATGACATCATTGGTGTAATAATTAAAAAAATGGTTTTTAGGTGGTTAAATATTACAATAAAAGGTAGTTTAAGCATAGAAATTCTGTGCCATTTCAAAAAGCTTATTGTTCGATATAAGTCTGGATTAATGTCGTATTCACTATATTTGTTAATGCTAGGCGAATGTAAGCTATTTGTTTTGCCTATTTAACAAATAGAAGGGAACTTTAGAATTCATATTGCTAGGGCATTAAAATTTTTTTTTAAGATTGAAAGATGTATTAAAGCTCTTTATTGTGTAATGGTATTATTATATTATAGTAATAAGTATCTATACATAATTTTGCAAAATTAGGTTATTGATTTAAAGACTGTTATTTCAGTTAAAGCTGATTTTTTTAAATTTATAATAATATAATAAATAATTAAACATTAAATACAAATATATAGTTGCTAATAACAAATTTATCCATTAGCCTTATTGTTGATTCAATATTTGGTAATATAATACCAAATAATAAGTGGTAACAGACACAAAAAAAAAAAAAAACACATCATAGTAAAATCAATACCTTCTCAGCTTCGCATCGAAGCTATAAATAAGTATACTAGTAGAGTGTATGCAAATGAGTTAAATTAAGTTTATTTTTATCTGAGTATAATTAAAATTTTTATTAAAATCGCTAATCTTTCTCTATGTATAGAAATTAATTTTATGATATCATATTTTTAAAAATCTTTACCTAAAAATAATAAATTAATAATTTTTATATTTATCTACTTAACCCTGGATATTTGAAAAATATTTAATCAGGATTTTATTTAAATTATATTTGCAAGATTTTTGTTAAAAAGCAATCATAACAGATTTTATTTGATAGGCAGGCCATCTTAAATATTCTGAATAACTTTAATAAAAAAAAAAGTGTACGTTTTTCTTTAAATATTTTTAAAAACTGCCCAGTATTGACCTTGGTCTTTGGTATTATAAAAAGATAATCGGTTGTATTATCCATAATATTTATGGGACCACTAGTCTTAAACTATATACGATTCGTGAATAGTACATACTCATTATTGTCTCGGTCTACTAATTGTTAATGGGTGGCGGTAACGCGTTAAATGACTATAGTCTACGGAGATCATGTACATAATTAAATAACGAAAAATAATAACAAAAACAGACGGACTTTTATTCATTGCCATATAGTTATTTTCTTTAGCGAATCATATCTAACGATACACCGGTAGGTATCTATCATAAAATAACTTACGAGTTCATGTGCAGAACGCACATCGAAACAGGTCATCGGATCCGTTTACTCATTATTATTATTGTTGCGGTAACAAGCGCAAGCACATATTGATATCGTTATGATAGTATTTTAGCCTTAGTGTATGGTTAAATTGATGGTCCTTAAAATGATTGCGAGTGTGATGATGACGAGAAATCGGTACAACACTGCCTCAACTGGTTTCCGTTTACTTAATTTTGTTTACGGACGTCCGCTGGTCGCGTTTCTTTCATATTTCACACTGAACTTGGAAAGTGTGCTAGACTCATTCTCATTCTCGTAGTTTGTCGCTTTCGCAGTTTCGTGCCATCGTGTGTTCGTATGTCAAAATAACTTCGTGGATGAAGCCAAAACAGTAATACAATATAAGTGTCTTGATTCTCGTCATTTATGAATTTTACATGAAAAGATTTTTTAATCGAAAGTTTGAAGGTAAATTATTTTTAAATCATATTATGGGTGAGAAATGTTTTCAAAATACTACTACCATAATTATTAGTGACACCTATTTTCGGTTCTTTTCAACTTAGGAAAATTTATTAATAAGATAGTTAAAAATATTATGAAATGTAAGCGTAAAGGCTTTCAGTATTGAATGTTATGTACTTGTAATAAGATTTCAGAACTTTTAAACGTGGCAAATTTCTACAAATTCAACAGATATCTCACTTATGCCAAATTTTCACACCATAGATCTTTAGGTGAAGTAAATTTTTTTTTTTTGAAGTTTTATATTATATGTGAAATAATTATTTAAAAGTCTGTTTTGATAAAAAATTTATATTTTTTTTATCATTGATCTCAAAATTTTGTAAAGGAACTCAACCAAATTAAAATGTTTAATTACTAATTTAATTAATACCTTTTAGATTAACTGTTGAATCTAAGATCCCTAAAATACCAGTATGGCCATATCTCAAGGGCATTCACTCCTAAGCAAACTTATATTGTAACTATTGCAGTAGAGGATTGATTTACTCAATATTTGGGAGTTCCTACTATGAATCGCATTATTTAAACTATCCCAAGCTTCAAAAAATTCATTCAATTCAACTCTAGATTACAAAATCATTTATTTGACTTTGGAAATAATTTTTGTTCAGTTTATAATTTTATTTTATTAGTCTAATTTTTATTATAATGTTGCATTTTTTTTTTTAATTTAAAACGATTTCTAGCTTTAAAAAAACGTTCGAGTGAATAAATATTAATTTTATAGATAAAGAGCCTTTAAAATCCCATGGGTTATAGGGTTAGGTTTGTTTTGGAACTTTAATTAAACATAAAAAATATAATACGGAACTGGTTTAAAAAGTCACATAATGTTCAAGTTTTTTTTATAAATTAGGTTAAAACTAAAGTTATGTATAATTGAGTCAATCATATGTAACTAAAGATAATGGACTCAATGCAACAAAAACATGTTTTTTTTTCTTAGAAGTCAATATGCAGAAGATCATTAAAAACTAGAGTAAAAAGTGGTATCATAGGGCTTGTATCAATATAAATTCATTATTTTATAAATATTCTGTTAAGTTACCTAGTAGCTTTCAATACCTTTGTTAAAGATAATATACTAGCTAATAACAAAATAATGAATTAGATTAATGAGATATTTTAAACTTATTAAAAAATGATTTTATTGACAACATAAGATTTGAGACGTTGACCATATGACAGTTGATATTAAACTTGAAAGTTGTCTACA